AGTCTGCTGAACATCTCACAGAACAATGAGACATAGCAGCCCCAGTTCAACCTTCCCTACTGCCAGCAGCTTCAGCAAGAAGTGCAGCAGAAGCAGCAGCAGCCTCCTTCTGCATTTTATCTTCAGCAAATAGCTTGGCTGTGTACCTGTCCTCACACAGGACATCACTAAATGCTTTCTTGACTACAGTTGTGGTGATTGCAGGCCAGTGACGTTTTTCTGCTCTTTTGGTGATAAAGTCTGTGAACAGGAAACATAGATACAGTGTTTGGATAACACAAAGCAAATTTCCATTGAGTAGGTTAAAAAAATATCACTTACCATGAGCAGCACTAATGCCATCAGCATGAAGAGGAGGCCGCTGTATTTTCTCCCTCCCAGATGGGCGGCCAGTGGGAGAACAATCATTGCACGCCTCTTTTGTGTAAATAGCTTTAAGAAGGAGGCGCGCCATCATTGGTCCGCTTTTACTATCCCTCTTAATTCTCTTCAAGTCCTTCTCAAGCACATAAACATTGAAGGAGAGCTCAACCACCTGCAACAATAAATAATAGGATTAATATAATGCTTCACATACAAAAAGAAAACAATTGCAATGCACAGTAAGTGGAAAATACTTACCCCAGGGTCTCCTTCCTTAAACCGATAATATTGGCCCTCATACACCATCTTTTCATATCTTCTCCTTTTGCGTCGAACAACAGTATCTGAAATGAGTAACGGTTGTGATAAAATAGTAAGGTGGATTCAGAGAGCAGAGACGTATTAATTTTGAAGCATGGTAAAAACATACCTTTTGGATCACTGTCTTCCTGTGAATCAGGAGGTGTGTTGATTGTAGTTGTGTGGGTTGAAGACAGGCTTGATTCTCTATCCACATGAGAAGCAAACTGTCGGACTCGAATCAATGGCTGTTCATCCTCTGAATCAGAGTCAGAATTAAAAGGATTCCTCTTTGAAGCAGACAGACTTGAGAGTTGCTTTAAGTCCAACTTTCTTTTCTTTCTGGCATCCTTTGAAATAAATTTAGAAATATAATAAGAGTACATTACAATTGAACTTGATAACGCACACATGGGAAAACAAGATATGATGATAGAATTTAAAACTCCTACCTTCACAAGAGCCTCGATTTCCTCTGGAGTGAGTTCCGGACCAGATGCTGAGTCATCTTCGTCAGTAGCCACCAAGTTGCGAGTCATGCCACTCTCAGAATCACTGAGAGAGTTGTGATCGCCCCAAAACAAAAATAAGGTATGAGTGGGGCTGAAAAACTACACAAAGACCACAACAAGACATTAATACCACAGATTTGAGCTCAGTGGCTGAGAGTGACTGTACCTTTTTTGGCTGTCTAGACTGCTTGGACTGACGAGACTTTCTTCTAGCAGAGGGAACCTTCGGCTTTTGCCTGGTCTTATTCCAGTATGGCAACCTATCTACTAATGTCTTGAAGTCATCTGTAAACAAAAAAAAAAAAGAATTGACAATTTATGCAGTAAATAGCCAAACGTTGTTGCAGTGTGACAGGACCAAAAGATAACTGAAGTTAAGGTTGAGAATTCCCAATCAAATGACATATGAGCAGATAGGTTATGGTGCGAGGTTAGAAAAGTCTTTCAAATGATCAAATAAGTAGTAAAATTCGAGGGCCTCGCAAATAAGAAGTACCCAGAGTTCGGTCAGAGCATTAGTCAATGCAAATTCACTGATATCTAGTTAGGTTAGGGCACACGAGACTAGTCTGAACACTAAAAAGTTGAGTACAACGAGGACATTTGTCGATATCTTGCAGGTTATGGTTGGGACAGCCTAATGAAACACGGTGACTGGTCGAGATGTCTGCCACTTCGAAAGGCTTGGACATCATGATTCATGCCGAAAAACAAGATTTGTACACTCGTGTTGCAAAGGCACTATCATACACACAAACAAAGAGCGGCGAACATCAAGTAGCCGGGAAATATGGGCTAGAACAGCTTACCTCCGAATTCCTTGACGACGCCAGCGTACTGTTTCTTAACTCCGTCTTGCGTGTACATGAACTTCACTTGATCGTTCACAGCGACTGGACACTCAAATATCACATCGGAGCACGAAACCACACAGAACGAGTCATCTTTCTTGGCGTACAGAAGGAAGAATTCCGGTTCGCCCATGATGTGTAGCGTGCTACCCGCCGCCGCAACTGACCACTTTGCGACTGACAAAACGTTGGTCACTTGAAAGCCTGAGTAACACCTCAATTGTCGACCGTATCCACAATGTTTTTTTTGAAACTCGACTGCCTCCCCTTTAAAGAAATCAGCTGTGAGAGAGTGAGAGTACAACTGCCTTCTAGAAAGCCTATCAGAGTGCAGCCAACATAGTTCAGTCACAATCTAAGGAAAGTTTGAGACAAAT